TCAGGGCGAGTGCGCCCGCAGGACAAAACCACCATGGAACTGGTGCTGCAGGCCTCGCCGGGCACAGGCCACAACTATGGCATCATCTTCAACAAAGTCAGCAAACGGGCACAGGAGAAGATAAAGCAAAAGCCAAGTCGCAAGACACCGACACCCGCCGAAGAGATTCTGGCAACCTTGTATGCCCAAGCGACTCCCACGAGGTTCATCTTCTGCGCGGAATGGGACATGGATCTTGAAGACAAGGATACTGTGGTGAAGCCACTTGACCCAAGGCTCTTGCGTTTCATTGAAGCCATGCCGCCCATCCACCCCAGCAGCTCCGAAGTCAAGACGATTGCCAATTCCGATTTTGAAGCCATGGAGCAGAAGTTTGGTACGACGAGACAACGGAAGGATTCAGAAAGAGCTGCAAGAGGCCCTGCATAAGCAGCCCTCGCAACCCGACTGGCTTCGGGCAGTTCTGCAGGGTCTGGTCGGGGCATTCACCCCAATACTGTGGGGTAGGCTGTAGCCCTTGGTGCGATGGAGCCGAAGAGCTGCGTGATTGCTTAGGCCACGAGGCCCTTGACCAGTCGGAAGGTCTCTGGGGTTGGCAAGCATCACTCGTAGACATAGCGCTAAATGTGCGCAGAGTGCTCTACTGCTCTGTCAATAGGAAGGCAGAAGCAACGAAGATGCACAGGTGAGTTACACCGAAAAAGAAGAGGACATCCACAAGCTTGCATTCAAGCCGAAGCCCCCATGCCGCTCCTGCACAAGTCAGAGTTCCTACTGCATCCCGATTCTCCTGAACCTCTTGACCCCACCGGTTTGCAGCTCTCGATGTGTGAACGATTAGATGCGAGTCTGGCTGATCGAGTGCTTCCAGGTCAGTGGACTACACCAGCTGCCTCATTCCGGTGCCGGGATGCGGGATGCCTGGCGACTGAGTACGCTTCTGTCGCACAGAATTGCTTTGTCAGGTGACCGTTGTCGTCACCTCGTGTTTTCGGTCATCCTACTCGGTTGATACCGCAAGTCTTGGCTCGTTGCTTGGCTTCCCACACCGATGCGTCTTCCCCCACTTCCCGGAAGGCCACACGAAACAATCCATAATCCTCCGCACCTCCTCCGTTTCCGGGGATTTGCAGGAAGAGCTCGCAGCTTCCCAGTCCCCGAGCCATGGGAACCAGGATTTATATGCGCGCCAGCGACGGCACGAAAGGTTGCCTGGCCAGTCTGGCCCAGTCCAGTCGGCTGGGACGTTTCCGGGTGTCCGGTTTAAGGGCCTCTGGGCCAGTTCCCGCGGGTTTTCGGTTTAGGATTTACGGTTACGGTTTCGGGCGTTTACAAGGCCGTTCAGGAGTACTAAAGGCTCGTCGGATCTTCAGGTTTCGGGTGGAAGGTTCGTGACTGTGCTGAGAGTGAATGTCTGTCCGATTCTTGCTCGAGAGACAGTCAATCCATGAACCCGAAATGCAACCTGCTGCTTTGTCCTTGCATTTTAACACATGCAAGCCGAAGTTTCATTTTCAGCCCCGGAAGCCGGAAGCTGCTTCGCAACTTTGTCGTCAATCAGGTCCCTTGAGAGATGTGGTGGAAAGACAGAAACTGGAAGCTTACATCCGAACGTACGGCGACTTCGACGATCTGTGGATGCCCTGGAAGGTGTGACGTCCCATCATGTTCTTCAGGTTTCCACAGTTGAACTTGGGTCAGTTCTAGGGAAGGGATTGGTATATGGCATCTCTGGGCTTCTTTGACGCACTGAAATTAAGCTGAAGCGTCATCTCCACCCGTCTTCAGAGCCATCTGAAGGTCGCGGACCTCCGACCGTTTGGCTTTGTGACCTTCAAGGAGTCGGCGGCCGCGCAGGGGTTTGTGGAGTGGTCTCCGCACAAAGTCCCAGAAGCTGAGGTGGAGATCATTGCCAAGTGGGGGTACGGACGCTGGGAGAGCAGCGAGGTTTAGAGCTATGCCATGCCGGATGCCAGAGAGCAAAGCAACGAACAGCTAAGCATGAAACCCTCAACCCCATTAAATATGCCCTAAGCCGACGAAGTTATCCTAGACCGTAAACCTTAATGTTAATTTCAAGACCCAAACCAACAAACACATTGCTCAAGCGGCCGAGGAGCGAAGAAGGCGAAGGCGAATGGGAGTTCATCCGCCTCCAATGGTCTGGAGGGAATGCTTCAGCCGTTGGAGGTCGATGCTGATGTGTCGTTGGAGATACTCGGGTCTCAGTGTGTAGGTAGGACATGCTCAGAACACAGGCTGTTTTTGCAAGAGCCCAATGGAGTGTCGACCCTAAGTGTTTTTCAACCCACCATGGAACCCTATACTGCCCCTTAAGGTCGACCCATGATAGAACCCTGTGCTACCCTCTAACGATCTGAAAAGGGAACCCTTACCCTTACCTGGAAGCTCTGACCCTTAAACCGTCAGTCCTGAGCCCCAGGCTCCAAGCCCCTTGTCCATGAGGAAGTATCACGCGGGGCCTGAGCAGAAGAGAGACATCTTCACAAGTGTCCCTTCCTGATAGAAGTAAGGTTTACTCCTTCCTTTCCGACTTTTCAGCCATTCCAAACAAGACAATGAGGCGAGGTTCGGAAAACTTCTGGCAGGGTTTCTGTGCGAAGGGATCCCTAGACAAGAGGCTTGGGGAGCCTCTTGGCAACCACTCACAACCCTAAAGCCGTAACCGCTCATGTACTAAACCCCTGACCCATCAAGACCTAAAATCTCAACCCTATTACTTAGGAAGCTGCTCGGGTGGGAACCCTTGGTAGGAGGAAGCCTGAAAAGAACCAACCCTAAACCCTACACCCTTGAAGGAGACCCTTCAAAGGGAGCCCTTCCCAGAATCCCTCAACCCTAAAGGGAGCCTCTAACGGAAGCCGTAAACCCTCAACCCCAAACCCTAAACCTCAAACCCTAAACCCTAACCCTAAATCCTAAACCCTAAACCCCAAACCGTGGTCCTTCAAGAGCCGAGGCATCCTCAGATCCCAGGATCCGTCTCACCAAGAGAGGCTGGCAAGATCCTCGCGGCTCATCAGGGGAAGGGAGGTCTGGCCCGTAGTACTCAAAGTAAATGCTAGTAACAATGGTAATCATCGTAAGGATGGTTCTAAAGGGGAGAGGTAATAATCGTAGTACTAAAATCGTAATAATAATATTCAAGAAGGGGTTATAGGAGCTTAGGGCTCAAGCCTTTGGGACCTTGCCGCTTTTCATAGCGTTTTTCTCAAGAGTTTCGGGCGTGGAGGTACGAAAGACCAAGCCGCGTCTCCACCTCTTCTGCGGTCCGCCCGCAACTGGAAGGACTCAGGCAATGAAGGTCATTGCAGCCGAAGCAGGACAGGCTGTCTTGAGATCTGTGAGCTGTTACGGTTCCTTCAAGGGTAGAAGACGTTAAGGAACCCTTAAGGCGTTCTATGAGGGGTTCCTAGAAGGGCTATATAGTTTGGTGTTTCGGTTGTTGAAGTATAACGGCTTGTGAAGCATTGATGTCGCTCCATGGTGGACATTGGATTTGCACTGACATTGCATCCTTGACAGCACAATATTCATCACCACGAAGTTCAGCCGACATATTTTTTGGCCCTTGCGACATCTCCCCTCTTCGCACAACATCGTGGACACAGCCCTTTCTTGGCCATCAGTGCCGAAACGAAGAGTTTGACGGAGACGTTCATGCTAAAACCCCGACGAAGCTACGTGAGCCTCCATAGTGACCACACTGTCGAGATGTGTCGAGGACAGAGTATCGCAAGATGTGGTGTCCAGCAAGTTCATTTCATCTCCTCTTGTCGCACTGGCTCGGAATCCTCGAAGCACCCAACCCTTAAAAAAAACACCCCTAGACTACTCACCTGCAAAACCCGAAACTCCAAACCACTGCGACACTCAACAAATTTTTGCTTCGACAGGCCTCAAAGCATTCCAAATGAAGCTGGGGGAGGTGGGATACGACACGCCGACGGCCTTTCAGGATTCATTGAAGGAGGTTGACAAGCCCTTCTTTTTGATTTCTGCACGTTTGATTTCTGCACGTTTTTGTCTAGGAGTTAAGTTAGGTGCTCTTTGGCATTTTTACGCGCACACAAATCCGCAAATCCTACATTGCAAAACTCCACTTGCAACAGCGGGTACCCAGCCTGTAGAGTTGTAACAAAGGCAACTAAGGTCCCGATTACTAGACCCAAGGAAGTTGTAAAGTGACCATCTGCATGCAGAGGATGGCATCTGGACCCAACGGGGTAGGGGTTGCCGTCATTATCGACGAAGCGGAGCAAATCTTCAGCCGCCGAAGTGACATGCAGAGCGCTTTCAGCGTGAAAGTGGAGGCGCCGAATGCGTGCTTAGGGTTTCGGATGGTTTCAGGGCTCAGGAATGAGGGGCCAGACCCAGAACTCTCAGCCCGTTAGACCCTCCACCTTAAAAAAATGGTAAGCCTTAGCCTTAAACTTCTGATGCCCAGAGCCCGGAAGCCGAAGTTTGTGAAGGAACCCGATGCCCTGAGCATTCAAAACCCCTTAAAGAACCCTGAACGAAACCCTCTTACAGGAACCCCTTTTTGGAACCGTAAATATGGAATCCGGAAAAGAACAGGAACCCAACAAAAGAACCCCCTTGGAGACTGAAGGGGAAGAAGGAGATCGTTAGGGCTTTCCTCGAGTGGACAGACGGCTTGCAGAGCAGACCGCGTGATGCCAAGCCGATCGTCATCGTCCGCGGCCCAGAACCCATGGGAAGGTGCCTCATGAAGGGTATCATTTGTAGGGTTCTATAGGGGACAAGAATAGGGTTTTGTAGGGGTTGAGCAGGGGTACTTTCAGGTCTGCTAGGTTTTTGTGTGGTTCTATGAGGTTCTTTCCACCAACTTGCGAGACAGCATTGACGAAGCCGTGCAGAGCCGCGTGGGCAAAATCATCAACTTTTCAAGGCCGACCTTTGCGCAGTGCAAGCAGCATTTCGCAGCTAATGCGCAGCCTGGCCCTGGATTGACGTAGTTCTTGTTAGCTTCTACAAGTGTACTTGTTAGCTACGCACGAACCCGCTAGTAGGAGTACCCTTTCAGATTAAGGGATACTAATTTCAAGAAACCCCTAGCTGCTTTGCAGACGCTCGCTGAGGCCCAAAGTGAGGCGTTGGCACTGGCTGCTGGCCGCCTCAAGCCGACTTCTGTTCATGGACTTTCGGGAGTTAGAAGCGGTGCATGATCTCGTATGCGAACCTGCGTTCTTGTTGAGAAGTTTTTTAGCGTGCCACAGGAGGGAGATGCCCATTCATTTTTCGATACGTATGATATAGATATGCGTATATGGATATATACACATATCTTGCGCACACTTCTCGATACATGCGCACTTTTTTGTACCCCCAGATCATAAATCTGAAACTCTTAAGCCCCTACCATAGTGCCTTAAGTCCCGTTCCTTAGCAACGAGAGCAAAGGAGCGGGATGCCGAGAAATCAGAGGTGGAAGGCCCGCAGGGAGAAGTGACGGCCTTCTCGGATTCTGGGCTTGTCTAGGTCCCCCATAGTACCGGTATGCTTCATCAGGCTTCATGGGGAAATGGGGAGTTTTTAAGGGGCTCTATAGTTTTCTGTTCTAGCTTTCCAGTCCCAAAGTCGTGGCAACCTAGGATTACCTTCCTGCGATCCGGTCCGTGTGGTTGCAGCGCCGCAGGGCAGGGTGGAAGTTGATGGATGTCCTGAGCCTGATCATCTGGAAGCTCCCATATTTCTCCTATCACCTGCGTGTGGTGAGACCTCGCTTGATTTCAGAAAACTTTTTAATGCCGCCGAGCTTTTGTACCGTCTGGACTCTGAGATCTAATCCATGAGCCGCGCCAGGAGCGAGGAAGCAGACAGGATCCGTCAGGGCTTGCGAGCCAGGCTTTAAGCCTTTGCGACGTATGAATGGGCTCTCGAGATCTCGGACTCTCGAGATCTGTGAAAGTTTAGTGCAGGCTATGGGATGCTCGGTGCTATGTCTCTGGGCCTTTCACCTTTGCATCTGGACAGCAGGGCTCAGATAAAAAGAAGTCTACCGATAGCAGCGAGCAGTGCTCTCAGAGCCTTGGCTTCCCTTTGCATCGCGGGCATGATGATCGGGTTTCGGCAGGTGAGCTAAGAACATCCCGCAATCAGGGACTAGGGGCCAAGACCGACGTTATGCCACAGCTTTTGCACAATCCATGGCACCAGGTTAGTAGAGACACTGATGGGAACTGGCGTTTTAACTTGTGCAGACTTGCTAACCAGCATCTGTCACCGTGTTCAGCGGGTTTTTGGCCTTCAGATGCAGTGTGGACCAAGTTATACAACGAGCAGGTCTTGGGTAGGATGCACGTCATGCGGACATGTGCAGAGATGTTTCGGTAGCAGCTCGGCTCAACCCCTTCTGCGTTCGCATTCTCCCTCGCTTTGAGCATGTCGACCACATCCTTTGAGGTTGTTGAGGTTGAGTCCCACGATGGAGCGAGCGAGGTCGGCATATCCAGGGTGCACCGTTTCCCCCAAGTCCTGCAGAACAGCGATGTGGTAGAAGTCGAGGAATTCATCCGAAATCTTCAAGATGGAGTCGATCCTTTCAAGACTGAGCTGGCAGACAGCCTGCAGAAGCTGGGTCGTCAGTTCAGTCAAGTCTGTGTTGTTTGGTGTGGACGACGAGGCCGTTGTTAGTTCTATAGACACAGGCGGTTCATGTGCTGTACTATGTGTTACTCTGCATGCAAGGAATGCTGGAAACCGAGTTATGCGGCAGTTTCGGCATCTGGCAAAAAGACTCACCCAAAGTCTCCAGGTTCTCTGTGAAGTAGCTGAGCAATGCCGTGATAATCTAGGTGTACGAACTGCTCGTCTGCTCGAACGCTCAGCACTTGCAGAGAACGACAGGGTCAACATCAAGGCAGGCATCTCGCAGATGGAGAAGGACCTATTCGAAAATGAGCTCTTCCTAGAGTTTCGTGAGCTTGTGCAGGAGTGTGAGGAAGACTTCAGTGATCATCAACAAGGGTATGATCAGTCCATAAGCCAGCAGGAAAGCAAGCTAGTCCATCGTCATCTCTGGGCAGAGCGTTTCGCCAACCTCTATGCAGTTTGGTGGTTGCTGAATGACAAGGTACCCAAAGATGTGCCCTATGTTCTCCTGACATGTTCTGCCCTGTTGGGATCTGCCAGCTGTAGACTTCCTGGATCGCTACGTGCACTTGTGCCAGTGTGTGGTCTCGCCAGTGGCCTCATCTGGTCTGGCAAGATGTTGATGTTTGGGAAGCGCACAGACTTTGACTGTGTGCGGCGGGAGACCGAGGACATTCTGAACAACGTCCGGGACGTCAAACGTTTGGGTTCGAGTATCTCGCGGTTCTACCAGGAGCTCAAGAAGGACATGGAGATCATCCAGTCACACCGGGCCAAGTTCAGGCAGCTGAGTAAACAGGTCGATTTCTTGGCGATGTCGGACCAGGATGTGAAGAGCTGGGATGCAGAGACGCTGAGTGTTGCACTGCGTGGCTGGAATTTGCCAGCGTGCGCGGACACATTCCTCGAGAATGGCATCTCTGGCTATGCCTTCTGCAACGATCTGAACGAGCAGGACTTCATGAACATGGGCATTGAGAATGACTTGACGTTGCGCAGACTCAAGAGCCTGCAGGCATCAGCAGAGCATGCATGCCCTCGCTTGTCCCCAAAAAGTAGTGCCATCCAATCCAGCAAAAGGCTTCAGCAGTTGCACAACGAAACAAACAGCTGTCCAACTGACAAGCAGCTTGGATCCTCGGTTCACATGAGTTTCAGGATTGCCTCGAGGTCAAGTTAAATCACGAGGCTTTTTATGAGTTTTCTTGAGAATGCTCCCTGCCATAGTAGTCTTGGAGCACCTTGCAGCTACTCGCTGTATGCCGCCGGATTTCTTGTGCTCACGAGCCACCTTCCAGGCCAACGCCAAGGAGGGGAAGCAGGAGTTTTACTGCCCGGACGCCAAGGTTGCCGCAGGGAGCTTGAAGAAGGCTGTGCAGGACGTCGTGGATTGTATCTAGGTGGCGAGAGACTAGACTATGCATGTGCATGAGCCGACCTATTCGGATGAGCCTAAGAGATTGCAGTGTGGCCAGCTTGCGTGAAGGGGTTTCTTGGCTTGTGCTGCTGCTGCTGCTGGTCGTGGTGGTTGGTGCTGTTGCTGTTCCTCACCGAACCTTGTTGAGCCAAGGCATTTCATTCGGTTTCGTCGCGCCTGAAGATTAGCCGCCTTGATCCCAGGCATCTCCAGGACGAAGGCCAAGTACTGCCGATCATGAGAGCGGCGCTAGTAGCCGGGTTGTTTTGTCAGTTCTTCCAGCCAGCACTTCTGGTTGAGTTGGACTGAGCCGGTCCTTGCCAGCCAGCATTTATGGTTGAATTGGACTGAGCTTCCGCTCGCTCAAGCTGTACAGTCAGTCGACAGCACGTTTCATTCCGGCCGTCAGACAAGAGCGAAAGTGTTTCGACACATCACGAGGATCCAGCAATGTATCAGCCCTTCTATGAATCTCGCGCAGCGTGTGTCTGTTACTAAACCCGAGGTCGAACGAGGCCTGTCTGCAGATACGTAGCAGTAGCCGCCCCATCATGTCTTCGACTTTGCATGTGCTGTTGCCGATATTCGAACTTCTGGATCCAGCAAGGAACACACGAGATGCACAAATCTTGAAACATTGCCCTAAAGCCTGAACACGAAGCCAATCTAGAGGTCTTTGGTTTATGAAAGGCAGGATATGGCAAGGAGGAGAGCTCTAGGCCTTGCTTGACCGACCTCGAAGCATCCTTCGAGCATGTGAGGACTCCGGCTAACTGGATCGGAAACTCTTCCAATACAAAAACCCTTCGTGTGGTCAAAACCCTCTAGGTTTCGCTACACCGTCATTCTTGTGCCACCAGCAAGGCGCTCACGATCCACACATGAGACGCTGAGATGGCTGCCCTTTGATGGACATCCACAGGCACGTGCGGTTTTTTTCACAAGGGGCGGTTTAAGGTTCAGGACTTGGGGTCAGGCACTTTTGGTTTGGGGTTAGCTTCTTGAATTTTTTGGGGAAACTCCCGACCTTCCCTACCAAGTCTTGCCCACGTTGTATTGTTGCTCCTTCTTAAGCTGTTGCTCCGAGCAGGTACATGGTCCAAAGCGACCGCTTTCAAAACGAAAGCTATCGCTTCGGACCAATCATCCTTCGAATTTGGCAGCTACATCCAAGCCGTTGTGCTGGGATGTAGTGTTGCCTTGGACTACATCCGGAAATGCCTCAACATGGGCTACAGCAAGTATTGAGAACCCTTGTTGGAGACTTGGAGCATTGAAAAAAGCTCGAGGCGAAAGCTGTGCAAGGTCTACTAGCTGGATTCGCGGAGAGCATGTTTCGCACCATGTCGGGTGCAGCTTTCTCTTTGTCATTTGCATGTGTTCTAAACCAACAACCTTAACCCTAAAGCCTGGCAGTTCGGAGTTTTGAGCTCTGATCTTCTGGTTGCCTTCCGCAGCGATTTTTCGGCTGAAGTGTGAGATCACCACTGTTACGCAGTTCCCAGGCACGCCTGTTTCCGGTGTTCGGGTAGTTGTCGTCCAGCAGGTGATCCATAGTCCAGGTCACACCTTGATATGGACGTAAGTATAGATGCGCATTCCTTGGTTGGCAAAGTAGGTTATCAGAGGCAGTTTTTTGAAACCCTACTAAGGCCCTAGGCATGTTCTGGATGTCCCCACAAATCCTAAACTAAACCCTAAACCCTAAACCCTGAATCCTAAACCCTAAACCCTACACCCTAAACCCTAAACCCCCCAAGGCGCTGAGAAGCCGAAGGCACCCTCCCAGTCCCATCGGAACCATGGCGCAGGGCGATGGAGCTGATCGATCAGATCATCGTTCCTTGTTGTCTTTTAGGCGCCTGCCCGTACTTTTTGTAGCTAGGGTTTAGGGTTTAGGGTTTAGGGGTCTATATGCCTTTGGCGATCCCAAATGCTTGTTCGGGGCGTGTGTCAGCTGCTGCATTGCCCTCGTGCTTGCGCCGGATGGCTCCCTGCATTGTCTTCCTGACTTTGAAACGAGCGTTTCGTGTCAGCCCGTGAAAGGGTTGATGTACCAGCAATCTCTTACTGAACCGCCCCGATGTCGCAGCCAGTGACATCAAGCTTCTCACCCTGAGCACATGACCGCATGGATAGTTCTCTAAATTAGGGTCCCTTTCAGGGTCCCTTTTATTAGGGTGCCGTACTATGTTGCTGACCCAAAAAGGGACCCTAATTTAGAGAACTACCCACACGCCTGCCCTCTTGAATCCAAACTCTGCCCCAAGATCTCGAAAGAAAAGGAAGCCCTGCAAAGCCTAAAGTCTCAAACCTCCTTCCGACGACGGCAACCCTGAACCTTGCACTCTCAACCCCAAACCCCAACAGTTGGAGGTAACAAGCCCTAAACGGACAAGACCCTGAAGAGCAGCAGGTTCACGGAACTTTAGCCGAACCCTTCTAAGGACTGCCAAACCCTGCACCCTGATCGAATCCGGCACCCTTCCACAGGCCTCGTCGCGGCCCTGGCGCAGTTTCTGGTGATCAGGACCTGGCTACTTGGGCCTCGGGTTCCTTCCGGTGAGGCGGGTTTACGGGTTTAAGGTTTGCAGCTTTAGTGCAGGTTGGGTTTAGGGTTTAATTCGGTTTCAGGGTTTGGAGTTTCGGTTTAGTGTTTGACGGATTTAGGGTTTGGGTTAGAGTCTCGGGTTCTAGGATTCAGGGATCGGGGCTCTTGCAGGGTGTAGAGCTTAGCCGCTTATTGGCTGCCTTAGCCCCAGAACAGAAAGCCCTAGGCTCCGCAAAAAGCCTTGACGGTAAAACTGCCCTCATGTACTTACCGGGACGACATGGGTAGCTACGAGCATGGTTAGCAGTTAGAAGCGGAGTTACCTTGAATACGGTCCTACATCGGGTTACAAGTAGTTAGCAGCGTAGTTACCTCTGAGCACGGCCCCACATCCTAAGTTCTCTGCTCTGTTAAAGTAGACCCAAGCCCACGGGGGGGGTCACGCGGTAGCCGGAAGTTCGCCGCTCCTTGCGGAGGAAGATCACGCTGACCCCGGATGGCAAGGCTGGCTGCTCTCAGCTCGAAGTTTCAAGATCGAAAAAGCCTAAGAAACCCACACCGCTTAAAGCCCTAAGACCCCAAACTCCAACCTAAACCCTAAACCCCAAGCCCCAAACCGGTTGAAACCCTAAAACTCCAACCCTAAACCCCAGGCCCGAAGTCTTCAGCCCAGGACCCAGGGCCCGGAGCCCGAAAGCCCTAGGAGCCTTCAGCCCGAAGCCCGAAGTCAGACTCTGAGCCTCTAAAGCCTTAGGCTAGGAAAGCCCTGGGAGCCTGATGCCTTCTTGCGGTGTGCTCTTACCTGTGGTTTGGGACCAAAGCTTGGCTTGATGGGCTTTGGGAGTTCTTATGATAAGCTGCCGTGGTGGGGCTGCATGGTGAGCAACTGGGTTTAAAGGCTTTTTGGGGTTCTACTCCGACGTTTTTAATTACATGTCTTCTGGGCATTGTAGCCCCAAGATCCCGGCAGCACTCTATGGACACCCACAAGCTCCAGACCCCGACGTCGAGGCCCCAACCCAACTTGCAAGACCCTCCGCCTATCGATTGTCCTTGTAAACTGTCGACTTGCCCTTCAACGACCCCCCTACGGGATTTGTCAAGGCCTTAACAGCCCGATCAACCCTACGCCCTCAAACCCTAAACCCTAAACCCTACGCCCTCAAACCCTAAACTTAAACCCTTAAACCCTAAACCCTAAACCCTCAACCCGAACCCCTAAACCCCTAAAGCCACAATTTCCCCCGAAGTTCAGCCGACTCTCCAGAGGGCAGCGGCCCTTTGAAGTCCACAGGATAGCC